GATGGATGGATGGATGGATGGATGGATGGATGGATGGATAGATAGATAGATAGATAGATAGATAGATAGATAGATAGATAGATAGATAGATAGATAGATAGATAGATAGATAGATAGATAGATAGAAAACATAAAAAAACTGTCAATTCAATTAATTTCAGTTTATTTCTATAGCACAAAGTTACAACGGAAGTCGTCTCAGGGCACTGAACAGAAACATTCATATATATAAAATAATAATTTAACACTATTTATCTGAGGAGCAGACTGCTTTGATTTAACTCCATCACAGAACTCTCATCTTGAGCAAGCATGAAGGCGACAGTGGAAAGGAAAAACTCCCTCGTGAGGAAGAAACCTTTAGCAAAACCAGGCTCAGGACAAGCGGCCATCTGCTTCAACTGGTTGGGTTTGAGAAGAACAGATACACAATGGCAGGTCAAGAATCAAGATAGAGTATCAAATGAAAACTATTCAATTTTAGCAAATAATTTAAGGAAATGAAATCTACTCGTCCTCCATTAGTCTAAGCCTATAGCTTAACAAGCCAACCCTAGCTATAGGATTTATTAAAAAGGAAAGTCTTAAGCCCAGTCTTTAAACTGGACAATGTGTCAGCCTCACGGACAGGATCTGGAAGTTGGTTCGATAAGAGAGAAGCCTGATAACTGAAAGATCTCCCTCCCATTCTGCTTTTGGAAACTCTAGGAAGCACGAGTAAGCCTTCAGTCTGAGAGCGAAAATATGGAACAATAAGATCTCAAATAGAAGATGGATCTAGAGTGTTGAGAGCTTTGTAGTTTAGCAGTAAGATTTTGAATTCAATTCTGGATTTTACAGGGAGCCAGTGGAGATCATCTAAAACTGGAGAAATATGATCTTTCCCACTAACTCCAGTTGACTCTGGCAGCAGCATTTTGGATCAGCTGAAGACTTTTTAAAGAAGTTTTTGGACATCTAGACAACAAACTATTGTAATAGCCCAGTCTAGATGTGACAAATGCATGAACCAATTTTTTCTGCATCTTTTTTAGATAAGATGTTTCTAATTTTAGCGATATTACGCAGATGGAAGAAGACAATTTTAAAAATACAACATTAAAACTCACAAATACTAAAGTGTAGGCCATTCAAATGTACCAGTAGCTTGATTTTATTTAGTGTTATAACACTACTTTTATTTACTTTTTATTTTATATGCATTTTATGGCTATTTACTGTTGTCTGTACCTGTATCTGTGGTTTGTCTGAAACAGGTCTCTCCTGAAAACGAATCCCCGTGACTCAATGAGACAAACCTGTATACATAAAGGGTGAATGAATGAATGAATTCCAACTGCATTAGCTCAGGTGAATTACATTCTTTTGAGTCAGAGGAAAAGAAACAGCAAATAAATAAAAAAATAGACATGCAGCACATTTAATTGAATTTGAAACCGTTTTTGTATTATTCTAATTCTGTTGATGCTTGATAACACAGCTCAGCCCTAAGGTTGGAATAAAACAAACAGTGTTGTCAAGACAGAAAGGCCAACCCCATGTTTCTCAACAAGGGATCTCCCAGAACAAGGTGGTGCTTCAGAGGAGTGGCAGACAAACAGAAGAAACTCCTCATTTACAGCTGGTCACTTCACGGTGAAGAACTACCGGTAATTCAACTACAGCAGAGTAACCGCTCAAGAAAAATAAAGAACACGCAATATTTTTAAAATCCTCAAGACGAAGGACTTTATTTATTGATGAAGAGTTGACGCTTGGAAGGATCTCCATACCTCTAGAAAGATCTACCTCTGTTGACGTCTTGACGCAAGGAACTTTTGTCCAGTTGTTTGCACGGCAGAAACATGGTGTTCTGGATTCTGTTACCCATCGCATTAGCCCTGGTGTCCTTCATTGGAACATGGACTGTGTGAGTTTACAACCTTTTCATTATTGTGCTTTTACAGTTTTTATTCTGCCTCTACATGTGTGCTGGAATTCACGTGTTTACATTCTTTCTGTGTGACATTTCCTCTGACTTCACACGCACATAAAACACTGATAATGCAGCTCGTTATTAGCAGCATTATTATCAGAACGATAATAAACAATATAATCTCACATTGGGACATTAGGAACGCACAGAAAGACTTCTTTGCCACGACATATTTTGCTTATGACTCTGCGTTATATTTTATGTAATAAAAAGATGACTCCACGCCTTAAGAGGGGTTAGAATTAAAAGGATTAAGGGAACTCAGTAAAACAATGCCAGCCTTCAAATATGTGACCCGGCTAGTTTTTTTCTGTTTTAAGGGTGTGCTCAGCAGAATGACAAGAAATGTCAGACGGTCATTTATTACGCGTGATTTCACCTTAAAACAATTAACGTCAAAATAAGTGGTGACTTTTCCTCCTGTCATGTTGGGTTCAAGTGATCAAAATCATTAGCAAGGCTCAGTTTGTTTGCTTCCATTGTTTATTCTTACCATATATATCTATATATTAATTTGTCTTCTTCCCAAACTGCTTTTTCCTATTTTCTATCCCCAGATATGGCTTTGCCGTCACCTACCAACACGTGTGCCCCCTCATTGAATGGTACGTTGCGTCTCCCCGGTTTGAACTTTTTTCTTAGTGCTTGAATAAAGATTGATTTCTTTACCATTTGATCTCAGGAGCGGCACCAACTCCTGCAGGGGGAATGAGACGGAGAACTGCTGCCAGGTTCCGACAGTGAGGTAGGCTCCTAATGTCCAATATGTCATTTCCTCACTCCAAAATCCAACACAAATATTGAAACAGCTTCTGTGGTTCCAGTTCGAGTGGGAGGTCCGCACCAGAAAGTTCGCTTTTCACCGCCACAATCAACGCTGCATCCTTTCTGTGTGAGTTCACCTGAAGATGACTTAAGCCTCCAAAACTGAGGCCTTCAGGGTCATTTTGAGCAAAGGGCAACACGAAGGTTAACATAAACTGTACTCTCTAAGAAGTAACTCTCTTTGTTGTAGTCCTGCTGTTCTGCATATTCCATCACGCTCACATTCTGGAAAGAAATGCGTCTCATGGCATGCTGAGCAAATTTGCTCTTGTCTTTGGAGTGGTGTCGGCCGTGGGGGCCTTCGCTGCAGGAAACTGCAACGTGAGTCATTTAATATTTTTAATGATGATATCTGAGTTTAATAAGAACTGCTTCAGTATTTAGTGTTTTTATGTTTAAACTTTAAGCTGTAAAGGAAATAGAGCAGTAAGTTTCCACTGAAGTGAGATCGTTTCAGTCGGCGCTTGTGTTGAAATGGCAAAGAAAGACAGGTCTATTTGTTTTAGGTCTTTGTTGGTTTAGAGTGCAAGTAAATATCTCATATTTCTTATACAGTTTACAACAGAGGTCTCTTTGTTCCCTAATGTTAATTCTTTTTGTGTTTTAAAAGCACAATTTTTATTAAAAGTGCAGTGAACCACGTGTTATTTGCATTAAAATACATTTACCATCTAAAACGTGTACTTTTAATGTTTTGGCCCAACCTAAACAAACTGATCTACAACCGTCCAGAAAGTTTTATAGAACCTTTTTTTTTTTTTCCCAAACCATAAAAACACTATATTTGTTTGTATATTTGTTTATAATTTATGCATCAAACCACAAAAAAAGCATAAAATGGAACAGTTTGAACAGAGCAGTCAGATAACTTCAAGGCCTTGAAGAATATAATTTACATCAACCATAAAAATGTGGTTTTAATTAAAAAGTGATTTTTTTTTTTTTTTGCATTTTGAATAGCAAAACAATTCTGAACTACATTTCAAACAGAAATCCTCACTTGTAAAGAAAATATTCTAACAATTACTCAGCTCTAACATTAACTTTTACCAGTTGTTGATATGTTTTTTTAAATTCTGTCCTGGTTTTTACTTTGTGTCCATGATCAGACCATAAACCCCCTCTGTCCGTTCCCCACAGCCAGGTTACCTGACACTGCTGCACTTCTTGGGAGCTGCTGTCAGCTTCCTGAGCATTTGCTTCTACACCGTCCTGCTCACTGCCCTGACGGCGAGGTGCGTCCTCACAGGGTACGAGAAGCTTCTCTACCCGCTGCGCATCGTTTTAACAGTGAGTCAGATCATCGTGACCATCTGCTGTATCCTTTCAGACTGGGCTAAAACAGCCCTCAAACCATTTAAACTGGAGCTACGGAGCCTTTAAAGCATATACAGTACCTCTTGAACTTTTTCATATCGCCACGTTGTAAATCTGAATCAATACTCTGTTAAACTATCTGTCACTGCCAGTCTTTGTGGGTATATCTCTGCCAGTGTTTGGATTTACAGCTTGAGCTGTGTCAGATTGGACCGAGAACATCTGCAAACAGCAATTTTCAAGTCTTCTTCAACAAATTCTCAGTTGAATTTTACTTGTGAATATCCTGTTGTAGCTCTCTGGCTGGATGTTTCGAGTCGTTGTCCTGCTGGAAGGTGAACCTCTGCAGGTTTTCTTTGTCTATGTGGAAGAAAAGCATCTCCGCAGCATGATGCTGCCGCCACCCTGCCTCGCAGCTGGGACGTGTTCATGGTGACGTGCAGTGTTAGCTTTCTGCCATACAAAAAGTTCAGTTTTGGTCCAGTCTTTCCTAAAAGCCAGGTTTGTGGAGCATACAACTAATAGTAGTCATACTGAGTGATTCTCTCCCCTGAGCTGAGGGCCTCTGTAACTCAGATTGGAGTCTTGGATTAATGATCTCCTGGCCCAGCCTCACTTTAGATGGACCACCATGTCTTGGTAGGTCCTTCTATTTTCAGACGATGGTTTAAACAGTGAGGTGTTCAAAGCTTAAAATTCTGATTCATAACCTAACCCTGCTTCTAACTTCTCAACAACTTTGTCCCTTACACATCTGGTGTGCTCCTTGGTCTTCATGATGCTGTTTGATCTCTAACATTTTGTAACAAACCTCTGAGGCCTTCACAGAACAGGACTGAGATTAAATACACACAGACTTTAGAAGACGACTGGTTCCCCTTGATTTTAACTAGAGATGCTAGAGTAAAGAGGGGTGAATACATCTTGAAGCAAGCTCAATAATCCAGGTAGATAAATCTAACAAGGTTGAGTCAGGTCCTCTGGGCGGGTTCTGTGTTGAAACGTGACATCTTTTAATCCAAAGGACTTCTTCAGTCTAAGGAGCTGCAACCAGCACCTGTTTGCTGATGACAACAATGGCCAAAGGAGAACCATGAGCTTAACGACTGATTGTTAGTGCCCTGATGGCCCCTTGCTATTCACAGAGCTGATACTCGCAATAATACCATTATGGGGGGACAATTGAAAATGGAGGCCTCCGCCCCTGTTGATAGGCCGCCTGTCCTTTTTTACTTTAAAGTTTATGGCTGTAGAGTGACAGAATGTGAAAAAGTTTCCAGAGGTATGAACATTTTTTCAAGGTGCTGTATTTATCATCATCAGGGTAAGATTCAAGGACAATGTATTCCAGGAGTGGCTTTGAGCCATGACATGGTTATATGCTCTCCAGCTGCTTCAGTGTTTGGATCCAGCCCACTGCTCTGTTTACAAAGTGGGTCTGACCAGAACAGTGTGCCTTAAAGGAAGTTATAATTTAGCCAGATTAATCTTTAACGGTCTCCACTGTGAACGATGCTTCACTCACCAGTCGCCTTTAGATTCAGATTTAATTATGCTATGTTTAAAACTTCTTCCATCTTCTTCCACCTGCGTAATATCACTAAAATTAGAAACATCTTATCTAAAAAATATGCAGAAAAACTGGTTCATGCATTTGTCACATCTAAACTGGTCTATTGTAATGGTTTGTTATCTGGGTGTCCAAATAAGTCTTTAAAAACTCTTCAGTTGATCCAAAATGCTGCTGCCAGAGTCTTAACTGGAGTTAGTGGGAGAGATATCTCTCCAGTTTTAGCTTCTCTCCATTGGCTCCCTGTCAAGTCCAGAATTGAATTCTAAATCTTACTTCTGACATACAAAGCTCTCAACAACCTAGCTCCATCTTATATTAGAGATCTTATTATTCCATATTTCCCTAACAGAGCACTTCGCTCTCAAACTGCAGATGTATACTCGCGGTTCCTAGAGTTTCCAAAAGCAGAATGAGAGGAAGATCCTTCAGTTATCAGGCTCCTCTCTTGTAGAACCAACTTCCAGTTTCTGTCCATGAGGCTGACACATTGTCCAGTTTTAAGACTGGGCTTAAGAATTTCCTTTTTGATAAATCCTATAGTTAGTGTTGGCTTGTTATACTGCTATAGGCTTAGACTACTGGAGGAAAAATTGACCTAATTTCCCTAAATGAATTGTTAAAATTGAATAGTTTTCATTTTATACTATTTCTATCTTTATGTGATTCTTGACCTGCCATTGTGTATCTATTCCTACCAAACCCAGCCGGTTGAAGCAGATGGCCACTTGTCCTGAGCCTGGTTCTGCTAAAGGTTTCTTCCTCACAAGGGAGTTTTTCCTTTCCACTGTCGCCTTCATGCTTGCTCAAGATGAGAGTTCTGTGATGGAGTTAAACTCAAAGCAGTCTGCTCCTCGGATAAATAATGTTATTAACTTTTGATATACGATTCTGTTCAGTGCCCTGAGACGACTTCTGTTGTGACTTGGCGCTATAGAAATAAACTGAATTGAAACTGAACTGAAAAAACTACAACATTCTTCTTCTCCAATGCTGCACCTGATGTCACATCCTTGACCCGACAACCCCCAGACACCGTTTTGTTCGTCCAGGACAGCTACTTTTGCAACCACCTGTCTGCTGTGTTCGAGTGGATGCTGACCATCAACACGGAGCTGTTTGAGCTCAGCTACATCGTGGAGTTTTACTTCTTCTCCTCCTCCATGGTTTCGAATCTGCTGAGCAAGCGAGAAGAGGAAAAGCCATTGATCCTGTCTTGATGTGATGCTGCCAGGGTCCAGCAGAAACACACGAGCTGAGGACGGACTGAGGGAGACAGCTGTGAGGACAGGACCCTGGCTTGGGGACTAATAGGGTTCGATTATTATTTTAATCTCCGCTGGGATGGATTTTGACCATTTTTTGTTCCACCAGCTTGCTACTACAGATACTCCTTGCTGTATGTGTTTAAGTATTACATCACTTTAAAAGATGACGACTTACACAGAAAAAGAACAAAACTTTTAGTTGTACTAGAAAAAAAACTAGCCTGAGGTAGCTTTGTTGAAATATTTGATTGTACTTAGAAGTTTTTGAGCAATAGTCTATTTTTGTACAGTTTTTTTTTTTTTTTAAAGAAATGCAGAATTAGTAACAATGACATCACTGTCACTAGTTGATCCTGTCTCTGAACATACATGAGCTTTGGCACTTTAATGACAATCTGTCAAAGGGTGGAGAATCTTTCACAGAACATCCTGGTGACAAAACAATTTTCTTTTGACAATTGGAACTGAGGGACACCACGAACATTTTGGATAACGAATTTTTCTTGAAAGCACAGACGTCATCAGTTCAACAAGTACTGAGGGTGTTGCCAGTTTTGATTGACGTTAGAACCAGTTATTAAAATATGATTCAGCAGATCTGCATCTGTTCAAGGAAAAGGCTGCTTCATTTTCACTCCAACTCTTGAGTGTTTAACGACGACGAACAGATAAATTCAGCTACAAACACTGATTGTTGGTTCCATTTCCTGTTTCTGTGAAATCCGTGTTCTCATTAAGAAAAACTGCAACTGCAAAGTAGTGAGTAGGTTTTGTAATAAAGTTTTCAAGACTTTATTGGGCTTTCTTAAAGTTAAATTAAACCTTTTCCACACATATCCATGGGATTTGTCTAAAGCACAAGACCGCATTTGGCTATTTGTGTATTTATTTTTTTAAGCTTTAAAGCAACATAAGAAACCAGAGGTTTCAATTTTCCATTTCTTGTATTTTCCATATTTTTTGTGTTTGCTTTTTCTTGCCTTAAAGAAAGTAAAAATAAGTCAAAGAATTAAACAAATCTTTTTTTACAACGGTCTCATTGTTTGGCATCCAGCCCAGTTTCTTGTTGCAGCAATGTAGTCGTGTGTACACACACACACACACACACACACACACAGTTTTTTCTTCTTTCGGTTGTTCCCTTCCTCAGGGGTCGCCACAACAAAATAACTTTTGTTTTTACGCCGGATGTCCTTCCTGACACAACCACAGCCCTGTGTGTGACATTTAGGGAGCCTGGGGGAGCAGATGGTGGGGGTTAAAGGCCTTGCTCAAGGGCCCAGAATGGGGCAAATTAGGGTGCTTCACCTATCCCACCCACATTTTTGACGTTGTCAATACCGGGAGTTGAACCAGCGATCTTCCGATCACAGGCCCACCTTCTCTAAGCTCTGCGCCACCACTCCCTACACACACAATGTAATCTATATAAACTACGTTAAGAATAAACATATTTTAGTTGTAATAAAACAGTTCACATTTATTTACAAAAAGATGATCAGACTGATTTATAACGTCACTATTGCTTAACAAAAACTAAATGTTTTGCATATTAACCAACCACATTGATGAATGTGTGTGTGTGTAAAGACTAAAGCATTTCTCTCACCGGTTGCCTAAACTCACTTGGTGCTCAGAATGATTACGATTTTAAAAGTACGACTATTTTAACAATTTTATATTTACTTTATCTGGTGTAGCGACGTTTACAGGAGATGAACTGAAGTTAAACGGCTTAAAACAAAAAAGATGTGAACAGGTACACACACTTTTCAGTCTGATCCGTCAATAGATTGTTTATTAAAAAATGTTTTAGCTCTTTTTATGCGTTTCTCTACAACTGCCGCACCTCTTCTTTATTAAACCTTGATATTTACAGAAACTTTCTGTAGAGAATTTAGCAGAACTGAAATTTTAACAGGAGCTGTCAAGACACCAAACAGACCTCAATCACAATAAATTTGCTGTGTAAAGGCCAAATTGACAACGTAAACGAGTTCCTCTATAATTACTTGATGCTTAAATGATCTTTTGTTTATCAAAGTAATTAAAGCAGCTTTAAGACGCATTTCTGACACCGACCGTCTCCAATCAAGACAAAAGCACCTCCACCGAGACACCACAGAAGTGACACTACTGCTGTGATTTAATGCAAAGCACTTAACTTTTACTTGAAAGAAGGTAATATACATCCTGGAATAACAGATAATAAAGATACATTATGAGCAAAATCATTTCACAATGAGCATAATCTTTTTGTCTCGCATCAACTAAGAGGAGTGCGACGTTATCTACAGTTTCTGTTAGGAAGAAAACAGCAAAAAGCACACCGGTCAGCATCTTGACTGTAAAAACAGCATCTATATGCAATAGTCCACATCGTTAACAAAAAAAGTTTTGTTTTTCTTTCAGCTAAATAATGGTAATGTATACAATATAAATAAAATGTAAGTGGAAAACAGTTCCAAAGGTACAAGCAGTATCCCACATTTCAGCATGGCTGAAAAGTAAAAGTATAAAAAAAAACCCTAATAAAACAAAATAAAGGCCCTAAATCCAAACGTGATACTTTTGAGTGCGACAACTTTTACAAACTTTAAGATACTGCATATTCTTCAAACTGGAGCGTCATGACAGCCTGCCTCATGCTTAACACTTCTAAATAAATCAAGTTAAAACTGTTCTTAAAACTTGTTCTGCGTAAGGATAAGTTGCCAACCATCATTTATCATGTGAGGTTACAAACTTTTTTTTTTTAAAGGAGAGATAACAGCATGAGTAAAAACACAAGGCCTTGTAGTTAATGTTTATTTTCCCAACTCAAAGTCAGTAAGTACTATAAAAAAGCTTGTTCTCTGCTAACCTAAGGGAGGTCACTGATATTACTCACAGATCTTTTCAACTCTAAAAGAAAATATTTATGTTCTCCTGCTCATTTAAGACATCACCTCGAGTCCAAGCCTCCTCCCCTCATATGCATCGGTCCAAATACACGGAGGGAAGCGTCAACTGTACACAATATAAACATTTCTCTTTGCAATAGAAGGAAAGGACACTAGAATAGTGAAAAACTCAAAAAGTTAATGTGATGATGCAGGTTGGTAATTGTTTAAATCTACGAGTTGAAATGAAGGGAAAGTTTTTCAAACAGAGTACATGTTCTTGGTGGTGGATCCACTCTTACTGGACGTTTCGTCATGTGACTGGTAGCCAATCACGACTTTCGTGGGGAGGCTCAGACGATCCTTGTAAAGTTGCCTGCGGACAGACAGAATAAAAACTGAATGCTGAAGAGGACTTGTGTGTAAAGTCACCACCTAGTGGCCAGAAACAAATGATCTCACCCTATCGTCAAGATGGCTTCCCTGTTTTGGCAGTTGCTTGTCCAGATGGCTATTTTGTCACCTTTATGCCTGACATTGACCACAGCTCCACACACGTCTTCACTTGCCTCATCAAAAGATTCACCAACTAAACACAGGAGCTGCAAACACAACAGAACGTCCCGTTTAACCCTTGAGGGACCTTTGCAATGACATTTCACACCTTTGGGCCTGCTTATCCAATAAAAATGACATTTCACACACGCGCACACACAAAATATGTTCTCAGCAACATTCACATTATTATCAATCCCAACACATCACGTCCATTTTTTAACCATTCGGCTATTTTACCTCCATGGCTTCTGCAAGATAAGAAAACCAGGCCTCCAATGAAACAATATGTAATTGAGGTTTGCTGCCCCTGGGGGGTTAGGGGGTGTCATCCTCCTAAAACCTGTTGTTACACCTGAGAATGCGGAGTTATTTGTGAAAAAGTGAAAATGGCAGCATTACTGTTTCCATCCAGCAGCGATCAAGTTCATTGTGTCTCTGTTTGTTGAGCGTCATCAACCATCGACCCCCCAGCTTGTTTCTGTCGTCTTCCCACATGGGTTTGATTCCATCCTGACAAACACATCGACAAGTTAAACATTATATGATCAAAAAATTTTTCAAACACTGCAAAATGCTAACAAACAAAATCAATTGTTTGTATACACGTTAATGCACCCTTACAAGTTTGATTATTATGTTAGAATAATAATATTAAGGCAAAGTATTAGCTGTCTGCTGTCGTATTTAAAGCCCAAAACAGGACTTATTTGATCATATTCACACATCCGTTCATCCGTGTATCCAACCATCTATTTATCTTCTACCCTTTATTTGTGGTCAGGTCACAGGAGAGAAACCCACACATCCTTCTCCCTGAAAACACTAACCAGCTCCTCCTGGGGGACCCCAAGGAGTTGGGGAGAGAGGACACACAATCCCTGTGGGCAGTGGAACATGTTTGAAAGAACAAATGATGAAAGGGAGGTGTCCAAACCACCTCAAATGACTCCTTTCGACGCAGTGGCTTCACTCTGAGCTCCACTCGGACGACGGAGCTCCTCACTTATCTCTAAGGCTGAGGATGCTCATTTCAGCCATTTGTATCTGGGATCTCGTTCTTTTGGTCATGATGCATACTTCATGACTACTGATGATGGTTGGAAGATATACGGACCAGTAAATCATGAGAGACCCAAATACTTGAACTCCTTCACCTGAGGCAAAGACTCTTCCAACCTGGAAGGATCATTTCACCCATTTTCGGATGAGAACCAGGGCCTTGAACTTGAAGGGCTGACCCTCATCCTCACAGCACCCTCAACAGAACGCCTTTGCAGATTTGCCACCTCAATGTGGTGGAGGGGTTTAAGTACCTCAGTGATCCTGGGGAATATGCTGTCTGGGGCGTCATGCCCTGGTAGGGTCTCAAATGACAATTTGGCCTCAGGGGAAAGTCAAACCAAAAGCAATAAAAAAAATAAAAAAAAACTTGACAATCTACTGATGAATCGTATACTTTGGATGCAAAAGGGGAAACAGAGAGCCAGGTCTGGGGGAGGGCTTGCTAGCATGCGCTTGAAAGCAGAGACTTGGCTTCTGGGTCTCGGCTGGATCTAGCCCAAAAGAGACGGGATGTCACCACCACATGGGTCCACCGTCTGCGACGAGAACTAAGGAGGTCAGGTTCATTGCAAGCTGGGTGGCAGGTGAAGGAGGGTCCCTGGGCGTGCCAGCTCCCGTCGGCACAGACTTCACACACCCACTAACATTAAATGCAGTGGAAGTGGAAAGCCTTTTTATCAGGAAAACTTCTCTAATGGTAAGATGATGCAAAGGCCAAAGTTTTTAGTGGTTGGATGAATGGGTGAGCAGAGTTTTTCTGAAAAATCTAATTATAAAGAAAGCTTGTTCAACTATTACACACAATGAACCCACATTTACTGAAGGAAAACAAATAAATGAAGGATGGATTACCTTAAATAAGCAATAATCACAGCCAATGCCAAGCTTGCTTGGTTGCTGTATGTGGTTGTATAATCTGCAACACAAAATATCAAATCTCAACACAAAAATGCAGATCAGGTTTTTTTTAAGCCTTAGGGCAGAAAATGATAACATTCTGTTTTACTGAACTACTTTAGCTTCAAAATATGGTTTAAAAATGTGTGTGTGGGGAGAAAAAGTCACCCTCCACCATTTATTTTTATTTATGCCTAATGTTAAACTAATTTTCTGCTGAAAACAAAACTGATTAAATTAATTAAATGAAAGTAGTATATATGTGCGCACTCAACAAATGCACACATGTACCCGTTTCTCTTCCTAAATCATTACACATCCTTTCTTTTGGTGACACAATTATAACTATCATAAATAAACAGAAAAAAAATGAACTTACGCCCAAAAATCTTCCACTGTGTCGAATTCGGAAATTAAACGAAAGTTCTCTGTCCAACTTTTGCTTTTGTCTGTTTTAAAGTACCACAAGACCCATCTGAGGAAAAAGAAAGAAAAAACATTTATTATTTTATAGGAATGCACTTTTCATTTATTTCACAAAACCTATTAACATAGGAAGAAAAAAAGCGCCTCAGTAGGATTTTATCTGACAATGTGTAAAAAGGGATCAACCTGTTCACAGCAAAACGCAGCAGCTAATTACAAAAGCAAACATGTCAGTGCAAAAGAAAAGAAAAGAAAAGTTCGGCTATCATCAGCACCAGAAACGCAGCTTTTGTTTACAATGGGTTCATTTATTCTTTCGTTTCCAGGAGGGGTGGGGTCAAAGGGGGGACATCAGGCAAACTCAGTGCCCCCGACCACATACATCACATCTATTTTCCATAATACCACAACAGGTCAAATTAGTGGATTCATCCACATTTGTGTTTTGCATCAGCTCTACAGACACAAATCATTACCTCGAGTTAGGCCTGTCATGATAACACATTTTGCTGGGTGATTAATTGTCTCAGAAATTATTGCGATAAACAATAATTTAGTTTGAAATTCAAATTTAAGAATGATTAATTTTTGTGCGTAGTAGTTTGTTTTTTTAAACCACTGGATGGCATTATAAGACTGTTTGAACCGAAGGATGGATAGTGAGGGCGCAAGCAGCGTGTCTCTAAGAAAAATAGGAGGGAGGCCCCTTGACGTGACATGGGCTGTCTCTCTTTCCTTTTTTCGGTTCTCAAAATGGCGGACGCTCTGTGTGGTTTGAGCTCTTTAGCATAGCATTTTTCACACAACGCTTTTAATAAAAAAAAATCAGTAAACAAGTTCTCAGCTTCTTTTTTCAGAGAAAAACAACTTTTTACATGAAGGTTTCAACCATGAATTTTGAAGCTTTGACAAGACGGAGGATTTTTCAGAGGGCGGCCTGTTGGCTTAGCTTGTAGCTTAGCTGCTTTTAATGATCCAAAAACGCGATTTTGGACGGTTAAAACAGATTTTAAAGAAAAGAGAAAGGGAGGGGTCAGTGAAGAGCACCGGAGTTGAGCCTTTTGTCATCCAGTGTCTTCAGTAGAAAGGGAGAGACACGAAGAAACGAAGCCAATAAATGAAAATGAGGTAGATAATTTTCATTTATCATGCGATTAATTGATTTATTGTTTATCGTGACAGGCCTACACAGAGTTACGCTCAGCCAGGACTTCAATGACCCCCACACAAACTAGTCATTGCAAACAACTATGTTTGCAACAATGTGTCAAGTGACTGCTGAATTCATGCAAAGCCCCCAATATTACGTGCTACTATACGCCGTCAAACTGTGAGACAAAGACTACATCTTTCAAATCCCAATCCAAATAACTTATTCTTCTTAATTTAGTGGGAGTGAACTGAATTAGAAAAGCACAGGACCTGTTTTGTAAATGATCAAAACACCAATAAATAGCTAAAAAAAAAGAAGCACCAAAAGTAGTTAAAAGAAGCAGACTAAGCAGAATTCAATCAAATTCTCAAACAAGGGTTTAAGCATTTCTACTCATTAACATAATCCCTGCCAACTTTTAAGTGGCTTAAATATGATTTATGTCCATGTTCATAACAAAAAAATTACAATAAATATCTATTCCATCGAATTCAGCTGTTAAAGCTGAAAATTAAATGTTTAAGTCTAAAAAAAAAAAAAAAAAAAAGATTCAGCCTATTTGCACTAACAGCCAGTCAATCTGCATTTATCTTGCCCATCACATTGCAAGTTTTCAAGAGATAAGAACTTTATTGATCCCGTAGGAAATTGTTGTGCCAGAGTTTCAGTATAAAGGAATATACACTAGGAATCACACAAGATATAAAAAAATAACAGATAATATAAAAATACCAGCAACTAAGATCTAAACAGGTCTGATTGCGGATTGTATTAACGAGTGCAGCCGATTATCCCACTTGTAAAGATGACTCGGTTTGAACCAGCCTTCATACAATAAATGTTATTAACGTACAATTGTAGTGAACTAAGCCTCAGGTCAAAAACCTGGCCCTGAGGGCCTTCCTGGGACAAGAACTGTTATTTCATTGATTTGAGTCCAGAAATACAAATTAAGCTCATCCAGAGACTTTCTAATTGTATCCTGCACTGATCAATTGAAAGAACACTCTCTTTCATATTATCATTACTATTTTACAAATGTCTTGATAATCAAAAGTGTGTTTAGTTCAAACCATTTTAAATGTTGAAGTGAACTACTCATTTTAAATCAACTGTGAAACAGTATTAATGATTTTTAATCCTCATTCAAAGTAGAAATCAAGTTAATGTCTGTTACAAGAGTAATTATTCATTTTCTTGATCTTCTGTCTGAAATGAGCAAGTCGTGATGTGGGTCAGAAGTCAAGTTTCGGTCAAAAACATGTTTACTGGAAAGAAATGTCATGTTCAACTTTTTCAGACAGATAGAAGGAAAACGGCTCCTAAAAGTCTCTGTTCTTCAAAACATCTTCCTGTCTGTTCTTAAAACAATCTACTCTTTCTCCTTGACTTTTAATGACCCTCTTACGTCACTAAGACCACACCCCTGTTGGTTCTTTCAACCAATCAGGAAGTTCTCAGAGGAACCGGAAGTGACCTCTTTAAAAGGGTCAACACTTCCTAGTTCCAGCAGAACAACGGGAACTACGCAGAACAAAGTTCCAGAAGGAAGAACAAAGTTCTGAGCCTCGTGGGGATTATGGAATCTTCCACATCTGAGTGGAACCTCTGACGGGCTCACAGCTCATGTGAGTCCACCTGAGAGGTGAGCGTGGTGTTGAACGAAGTACCGTCACTACTTCGGACGATTCGCAGCTGTTCCTACAGAGAAGCTGGAAAGGTAGCGTTAAATGGAACTCCGTACCAGTGGAGACATCTTCTACAAGGTAACGAGTCCCTCACTACCTAAGTGTACCGAGGTGGAGCTGGGTTCGGATGGAGGGTGCCGTTCGTTATCAACCCACTTTTCCCTCATCCATTTTCTCTCCATTTAAACTCCTTCATTTCCCATCTTTAAAACTCTTCTATCTTGCCAGTAATTAATCCAGATATTTTCAGAAATGTCTGTTGGTTTCAAAAGCTGCAGGTGAGATACCATGGCCGTATGGTTCTCATTGTAAAGCTCATTAATTAAGCTGTCTTATTGAAATCAATCTGCCAATTATTGTAAATGTGTGATGTGTTTAAATCGTTTTTAAATAAATGACCCACTGTTGTTGGTGAGTCAAAGATAAAACACGTTTCCGTCCACATTTAATCATTCAAGGCACGATAGTACTCAGTCCAGAAAAATGAAAGAATCCGTTTAAATTATGAATAATATCAGAGACAGATATAGTTCATTACACAATAATACTTTATTTATTGTCTAAATGAAAATAATCGCTTTTGCAGACAGATTTCTAAAACTCACTTGTTTTGCAAAGGATGTTTGATATACTGCTCAGGATTTGCGACAACCTGACCGTCAGTCTGTTGATCTTCAGTATCAGCTGCTTTCTGAGGAGTATCAGCTGCTTTCTGAGGAGACAAACAAAACCAAATCGCATAAATGCATGCATTTCAAAACATTTAATTTAATAACAGCTTTGAGCAGGAGCTGTAAATCACTTCATTTTGAAGGGGTTTTTCTTCCCAGTACAATATCACAGGTACAATGTTAAATTAATATCTAATGGGCTTACGGTGCTTCCAGCTGTGAAGTGTGAGAAAATGCAAACAGTGGATTAGGACAAAATTGATCAATATAATTTCATTTGTATATGAGACAAAACATCCAATACAAATAATTTCCCCTTGTATATATGCGTTTTCCCTACCATTATTCAAGGAAGGCGCCCTGCCCTTTCAACAGAACTGAGAGCCCTGTCTACCCCCCTTCCCCCCACGTGGAGTGGAGATTAGCAGCTCAGCTCCACACCTCGGTTGACAAAACCCCTAAAGACAAGTGCCCTCCCAAGGCAAGTACCGTAACCTAACAGAAACACTGTATATAGTGGGTCAACCAGTTTACTGGTGACAGCCCAAACTAGTTGCTTACATGCAAAAGCTGGTTGGCTGGATTCCTGTTTGGGTTTCTTATCTGCTTTCCTGAGTTCTCAGGAGTCAAGGAGAAGGATAAATCCCACACATGACAGGCCCTGGAGCAATGTGGGTATCGTAACTGAGCCTTCTTGAAACTAAGAAAGCACAAGAAAGCAGATAAACTAAACAGCCACTGTCCAACAGGATGGCCCAGCAGATAAGAGCAACATCATCTGGCCAGAACTCTGCGGTTTACAGGCCAGAGGTTATTCTTTCAGGGATGATGATATACATCCTTGATAAGAGTGGAATGATGGTTTGACAGAGGAGTAAGAGAAAAGAGGTCGTCATTGTGAAGAGAACCCGCCCGTCGTTAAACGTGGGCAGAGACCTCCGTGTCCATTTTGTCTCCCTCTTATGAAGCTGTTATTGCAAGTATAGCATATCAAGTTATTGAGTTTGTTGCAGCTCCTCAGACTGAAGAAGTCTTTTGGATAAAAGATTAAACGTTTCAACAAAGAAGAATCCGCCCAGAGGACCTGACTCAACCTTCAGGTCTCTCTTGGAGATGAGTCCCAGAGGCTCAATGGGATTAACCTGTATAAATAAAGGTTGAATGAATGAACTTAGTTAGATTTGGATTATTGAGCATGCATCAGGACAATTTCAAGATTCCACTCAGTCTGCAGGCTTTTAAAGATAATTTACTATTACCCCGAGATATTTTTAATGTGCGTATATAAATAACCTGAATATTTTTTTGTCATGGTCACACCCTTTTTTGAAGGCAGGTTTAAAGGATGAGGCAATTGATCTTTTTTTGTTGTTGCTACAAGCAGGATGTCGCACTTCACCTCACACTCGTGATCTCTCTGTATAAAACTGCCTAGAATAAATAACAACACCACCAACATTAAACTGTAGCTCATACTTAGCAAACGAAAGTGGCAACTAGCAAAACGATGGACCTGACGGGTTACTACCACACCTTTTGGCAACGGATTTTTCTCTTACACATCATAAATGCACAACCGTATTATCGAAATGTTTTTCAAGCACACTTACATAAAGTTCTTCAACTCAGTTTTAACTAATTACAGCTAATAGAATAAAGCTAATATTAAGTTGTCACCAAAAATCCAGTAGAAGCCATGCCTGAGCTAACTTTTCTACTAACGTTTGCTAGCATTAACTTTAGCATACGTGCTAGGCTAGCTACAAGCTCGAAACACACGTGTCCAGATTGTCAAAAAAATATATAAAAATAATAATATTAAGGGCAATAAAAGGTATTGAATTGAACCATCGCTGGATACTGACTCTAATTTCGTAAACGAGTTAAAAAAAATCACTGAGTGGAGTTTGAATGAACGACGTCCAGTCAAGTCAGTCCCTCCCTACCAACAAAGTCTGGCAGCGCTTCATCCATCACATTGCACTGCATGCTAGCGCTAATCCACGCCAGCATCAATGAGCTCAAACGTCATTATAGATATTATTTACTAGTGTCATTTCAAAACGGTCACTTGTGGAGGGATGCCAGCGAATAAAGCAAAGATGTGACGGGTCTTTCTACGCGCAATAATTGAATTTTCATCTCTCTTGTCTCTCTTACCGGCTCCGATGTCGCCATCTTGACTGGGGAAATGATCTAGCATTCGGCGCTTCTGCGTCACTCCACTCCACTATTACGGAAGCCGCCGCAGTCCAATTTTGTTGATTTTTGAGTCATCCTCCTCCATCTCATTCTGCTAGAAATGTCCATATTTAAGGTGTTTTTTTGAATAATCCCCCTGGCTTTTGTTTATTTGTTTGAATGTATATTGATAACTGTCGTTGTAATGTTTTACTTTTAATAAAGATTTTAATTAAAAAAAAATGATCGAAATATCCATCCATCCAATATCTTTATCTGCTTCTTCCTTTTCGGGTTGCGGGGGTCACTGGTGCCCACATGAGTTAGAAAATTAAAAATAAATAAATAAATGTCCGAGAGTCCCCATCTAGTTGCATCTAGTCCTCATTTATTTTATTTTGTTTAAATTGAAATTGATTTTAAATTATAGATAATTTTTGCTCCATGACAAATTCAAAATAGAATTAAAAATATTATTGATTATTGAGCATGCATCAGGACATGATTAAAAATAGTTTAATATTTTAATAATTCATTGTTTTAGACTCATGTTGAGAAATGACAGTTGTAGCTGTTTTGGTCAAACCTAAAAAATAACATTATGCACATTATCATGTGGCATAACTTTCATATGTTGTGAATGACTCTCAGCTACTACCACATTAAACTGTAGCTCATACTTGTAAAACTGATTGAGTTAAAACAATTTAGGGTTGATTAGATGTGACAGTCATCTTGAATTGTGTTGACATTAAAAGTTAATCAACTTGTAGATGTCCATCAAATGATTACTTTCTGAGAGTTTCAGTAAAATATGTTCAGCGTTTCACGAGACATTTAGCTAATAAACAGAATTAAATCATGAGACAATCAGAGAGACCCAACTAGTAAAGCAATATATTTGGGGTCAATATCTGTAAAATTGACTAAGTTAAAGCCATTTTTGTGTTTCTGAAGAAAATTTGTCTGTGGCAGCCATCTTGAATCAACTCCAAAAGTCAGTAGTTGAGACACGCCCAGTGATTATGAAAGTTTCATTAAAATTAATTCAGTTGTTCATTAAACATTTTGCTAACAGACACACAGACAAAAACAAAAAAAATTTATTGTTTACCTTTTTGTGTAGGGCAATAACAACTAAATGCATATTTTTATATATTTTTTCTCCACAATAAACACTAGTTGTTGTGAATACTAAAATATTTCTCACTTTAAATTAATATATATTTGATTACAAGCCTCAAACAGTCTTGTGTTTGTCAAAAGTAACAATTTACACAGCGTTAAATGACTTTAAAATGTCCTCAATGGCCATTCAAAAGAATAAAAATCATATCAGGAGATAGAGTTTCTAAAAAGCAGATTCATCTCTGTACAACTGAAGGATGAGCTTTGTGTGAAATTTAAACAGAAAAAAGAGAGGAAATAGTGGTCAGGTCCAAAATATAAATATGACTTTATTTCAACAATCCTGAAAGTGATCAACCATTCATGGTATGAATGCTAAAAGTTGTCTCTTCGAAGTCTTAACTGGATATACTTTCAGCAACTTGAAGTAATTCAGTTTTAAAATAAGCAAGACCATCCATTGTCTAAACACCATACAGTAAAAACAATGTGGTTCACATACATATTTACAGTTTGTGTTTTGAATGCTGGTGCTCATTTAGTTCCTTACAAAAAATGTTTCATGTGGACTGAAGATACACCCCACAAACAATAATAATAATAATAAAAAAAAAAAAACACATTTACAATTTAATTTTCCATGTGATGCTCAAAAATGTCCTTTCTTAAACCAATGGATTCTGAATCATTTACATTCATTTCTTCTGAAGTCTATTTTTTTATTAATGCTGGAGAACGGGGTCATCTTATGGAAGACATTTCAACTCTGCACAAGCGAACAAACATTGTGATTAATGCATTTCTCTGTCTGTTGTCTCATGAGTGCCAGTAATGATCCAGGATAAACGTGCATGAATGCTCATGCGCGGATGAGTTAAAAAGCACCACTGTCATCACTGTTATACAGTACAGAACCAGGTCTGGTCAGTGTGTTGACTGACATCTTGTTAGCACCAAGAGACGTGTGTAAAAGACCAAGATGGTTCTAATGGAAATGTTATGCTGTTATTGTTAGTGTAAATACAATTAAAGGGTTGTAATAAAAGCCTTATTTGATATGTTAAAATGACACATTTCACCAGGAGGTGACGCTAACCCCTTTATTCAGACTGATAAAAACATCTGTAAACAAAGTCCTCACTGGGATAGAGCACTTGAAATCATTTAGGCTTTCATCTGAGAGGAATCTGATGTTTCAAAGTGGTTTAAAACAAAAGCAAAGAGGAGGCAACAGTAGGATTAAGTAGCAAATAGGTTGGTTGGTTTGGGACACTTTGCGGTTTCTGTTAAAAAGGGTCTGTAGCACCACATAAATGCACAGTAAGCTTCTGAGATCTTATCATCACACTTGTTCCCAGTGAAAAGGTTGAATTCCAGGAGCTCAATAAAGCAATAAGCGCCTAACTGCTGCAGCATCTCACGATTTGTTGCCATGCAAAGATTTAAGTTCCATCAGATAAGTGGAAAGCGAACAAATTGCAAAAAAAAATACTGTAAAAAAAATCTAAACTTTTTATATGTATATATCTCTGTCTGTACATACATATTCAGGACCGTGGACATGATTTTCAAGTTAGGAAAATAAAAAAAGTGCTTCTTAATATGCCATCTAAGTGAAAAAATATAAACTATCCCACAGTCAGGAAAACAAAACAAAAAAACAAAGAAGTACGTTTCTTTTACCTGCCTCCAACAGAAGTCAGAGCCTCGAAAAGAAAAAGCACGATGCTACATGTGACAATCTGTAGTAAATATATGCACGACGTTAGTCTACATTATGTGATGCAACCAGTTTGCTTTAAAGAGGTTACAGTGAGAATGGCACCGATATAAAAGCCAACAAGACTCATTTCATAACAAGAGTACACTCCTACTGCACGACATAATGCAGGCCATCAAAGAAATCTTGCAGTAAACAGGCTTACACAAGAAATTAAATAGATTTCATTAAGATCAGAATAAATAATCACATCTTTTTTGTTGTTGTTCTTAATCACGTATATAAAGCCAGTTTAAAAACATCATTAAATGCTTCAAAGCACCATTTCTTTACATTAAAAACCAGCACCAAAACTCACAGTTAAAAATAACCCCCCTCCCAAAGGAAAAAAACAAAACAACAACACGTTTGGTCCTTCTTATCATCAAGAAGGCAGAGACTCAGAAGGACAAAGTTTATAGATATTAGAAAAGTACAAATGACATGAGTAGAAGTCTAATTGAGGTAAGGCAGAAGCGCACGGTGAGCGAGTGTTTTGTGACTAAGTCCAGCGATTGTACGGGCCCGTCACGTGTGTAAGAGCATACGGGGACACGGTGATGACGCCGTCCCTCGAGAGAGTCCAAGCCTGACGTGTCGGGACGTTCGTTAACCTTGTCTCCTCGGCGTCCTCGCCTGCTTCCTCCTCCCCCTTTCTTACGCCGCTGCTTGGGCTGCCCTCCATTCTCAGTCTTTCCGCCTCCTCCTCTCGATCCCGTTCCCGCTTGGCCATTTTGGCGTCCCACATGGCCATCCCGTGGCCTGGCTCATTTAGGGACTTGTGCTGGTAGAAGACCAAGGAGATTCGGGTAGGGTGGCTGCGGTTCGGCTTGAGGATAGGCGTGGTGGCGTGGAGCTCCCGTCGCGCACATTCAATCAGGATGGAGCCGTGCGACGGCGCCACGGCGACCCCGCCAATGTCCCCGTCCAGGAAGTTGTGCTCGCTGTCAGACCAAACCTCTTCCTGCTTTGTATCCTCAGCCATGAGGGTAGGGGTTTGTAAAGGGGGAGGTGAGCGTGGAGGAAGGGCATGACCCCTGACCTCTCCTGCGACATCGTCTGCTGGCAGTCCGTTGAGTCTGCTGAAGAGGCCCTCAGATGTAGGTCGTGGGGAGAAGGAGGAGGGATGATGAAGAGGAGGAGCACTGGGGGAGAGTCTGCGCAGAGCAGAGCAGTGCACCTCACTGGGCTCAGTTTTAAAGGAACATTCACCGCGGGGGCTTTGAGGAGGTATACGCTCACCGGATGCTGGAGCAAAAATGCTCAAGGTTCCACTCACTGTCTCATACCGGAGGCTAGGCAGGCCATGGTGGCTGGCGGGGATGACGTCCCTCTGTGATGTCACCCCTGCACCGGGTGAGGAGTAGCTGCTGGTGCTCTGGCTGTAAACGCTGGGTTGATTTCTCTCTGGTGGGGACCTTCCAACACTGGCAGGTCTGGGTGGCAGCCTGTAAGAGCTGAAAATACCTTGTGGCTCTTTGTTGGGAAGAGAAAAAACATATATTACTGAAGTGATAATAAAAGAAAAATTGCTTGTGAATATTAACCTAAAATAAATAAAAGCAATGAATGAATAGCGGGACGAGAGATTCAGTTTGTCTACCTTTGTTGGGAGTCTCAGATTTCACTTTTCCGGGACTGAGAGAAGTCAGCCCGAGCTTCTTCTCCAACTTCTCTGCTTGAGCTTTTATCCGAGCTTCTTGCCTCATCTTACGGGCAGATTTCACGGGCTCAGCCAGTAAACGAACCTGAAACATTACAAAGTCAAAATAAGACAAGAAATATCCAAAGAAAAAGAAAAACCAATAAAACTAAATTCCAAATGCTGCTTTCCCCCCCCTCACTCACCTCTCGAGGAAAGGAGGACAGAACCTGCAGAGCACCACTTTGGATCTTGGCCCACTGACCCTCCACATGTCCAAACTCATCTTTGTCAGAGATCTTGTAAAGCGGCAGCACATGAAGCTGCTCGTCCTCTGGAATATTACGCACTGATCGGTTGTCTTCCTTTGTTAAAGTGCAAACCTGGGAAAACACAAGACAGAAGTCAAGCTGTCTTCATCCTAAATCATAAAAACCTAAAAAGACTAACCCAAAACCAAAGACATTCAGCTTTGAAACAGTTTGAGACTTCATTTATTGTTTACTTTAACTCTTTTTTTTTTTTTTAAATAAGGCTAAAACTTGCTCATCTAGTAGAATATCTCTGAGGTCATAATTAAATATTCTGCATTAAAAGTACTTTGACACCAACTGCGTTTGTATGATGGAACAACAAATACAAGTTTGGCAACCTGCTCTGGAGCTAGTTTTCAATTCATTGTTTAGGTTTAAGAAGCTTCACTTGTTCATTGATTCTTTTATCGATGATATTCCAGAATGAACGATCAGACTGAAACTATAAATATATGCTTTCATACCGAAGGACTGATGTTGATGCCTGATTTTGTAACAAATTTAAAAACTTTTGACGTTTAAAAGTTGAGAAAATACCAACCCACTGACCAGAAGTCATTTTTAAATCCAGCCAGAGTAGCAGACTCTGATCAAATGTTGGCATTTTAATAGCTAAATTTTGCTTTAAAATAATTTTCATTTAGTGATATCTTTTTAGAGTTTAACTGATTAAAATGTTGATTTAAAGAGCTAATGCAAAACCTCTAATTTTACTTTTTTGTTGTAATTTTGACTAAGAATAAAAAATAAGATAATTACTCACAACTTTTTGTTCCCAGCTTGCAATCAGGAAGTAAGAAAGAAAAAAACGTGGATTGCATCACAATATTTTTAGAACAATAAATTCTATTCATGTAAGTTCAGATTTGCTGAGAAGTTGATTGAATTGACTTTATAACTGTTTGTTCATTAGAGAATGTCCAGTAAATAAGCCATTTTTATCTGATTTGGTGTTTGATGGGTTTTGCCTGGTATCACGACAATTACAGCTAAATTGAGTGTAGAGTTAAAAGCTTTCTGTCGCATAAACAAAAGAAACTGACTTATTTGCGCAACTATAGTGTCTGCAGCATTTCTCTTCTATTCTTACAATTTGAAATGTGTTTCTAGTTTTGTATTCTTCACACCTCTCCATTAATTAAACTAGCTAATCTTGTGAAAGAAGTTGGTCATTGGTTTTCATGCCAGATGTATTTAGTGTGAAATGCCTTTATAAGTAAACTCACACAAACCCTAAAGAGAAAAATTCCAAGTTAATAAAAAAAGGATCATAACCACAAACTAAGAAAAGGTTTTGGTTTTGTCACGCCTGCTTACAAAAAAAAAGAAATCCCTGCTACAATAAATATGTATTCCAAACATGTAAAATAATATATTTTCTGCAATGTCCACACAGATTAGTCCCTTAAGTCTTGATTGAGCTCTGTCCTGTTTTATTTATTCTAACGTAAATGCTTGTGTGATGAGAGTTGTCAGCCTGCGTACCACAGTGCTGCCGTTGTTCATGTTGCTGGTGTCCTTGTGAGCGTGGGCACAGAAATCCACACAAGCTGTGACCCCGGAGAAAGGTCGACCTTCTTTCCCGCCCAGCCGGCAGTCCCCACCTGCTGCTTCTTGTTCAACCTGCCAGGAGTTGAAGGAGGAAACAAGGTAAGTGTTTTGAACATCTAATTAGAGCAGTGGCGTCAGAAGCATTTGTAATGGGGGGGGCACACTGGTAGTGGGGTCTGGGAAAATTTTGAATATAGTAGATGCCATTCCTTGCATTCTGGTGTATTTTAAGATTGTTAAACATCTACGTTTACCTACAAAAGTAAACACTTGATTCAATAACTATTTTAGAGAGCATGGCACAACAAGAATTAGCCTGACCAACAGCTCCCCTTGTGTGAATAAAGCATGCTCTGCTTCTTTCACGCATCCTAACACCCCACTTCCCATCCCCAATCCTGTCAACAACTGTCGCATTAACGTAGCACTAATCTAGTGGTGTGCAATATGGATGCGCTAGCTAAGATGCTACAGACGTAGCGCTCCGCTTCTCTCACGTATCCTAACACCTCACCATACACGATGGGGTCAACAACTGACAGTGCTAATGTAGTGCTAAGCTAGCATGCATGACCGAGGTGTCTTCCCCTCCTCCCCCTGCCCCATCAACAAACCCCCCGAAGAGATGAGTGCCCATATGTCTATGGAGTGCCCTGCCAGGGCAAGTGACCTAGACAGAAAAACTGCATGTGGTGTGGTGAGTTGTTTTAGGGAACCTGGAAAACCCGGAGTGGACTTTTAATGGTTTGAGTATTCCCCTAATAAAGTGGAATGGATTTGTTCACGTAGCAATAGAAACAGTGTTGGTTGAACTAATATTTCATGGTAAATGTGTGTGTGTGTGTGTGTGTGGGGGGGG